TAGACGACGCCTGACAGAGACACCACCTTCACTCACGTCGGTATTATACCACCGCTGGGCTCGCGCGTCGTCGTCGCCGCTCGCCGCGAGGACCCGATGGACTTCGTACACCTGATGCGCGCCCGAGTCCTTGATCTCCTTGATGCTCTGGAACGTGAGCTGCAGCTCGCCGACGAAGCCGTCCACGTCCACGTTGAGCTTGACGTCGCGGTAGCCCGACGTCCCGCCCCGCAGATTGTCCTTGCACCGTAGAATTCTCAGCTCCTCGCCGCGCGCCGCCGCGCGCAGCTTCGAGATCGCCGCGTTGAAGTCGTTCGCGGTGCCGTAGACGCCCGTCGCGCGCTCGACGTCGACGACTCGCGCGACGTCGCCGTCGTAGTCCGCCTCGGCCTTCTCCGTGATGCGCGGCGTCCCCTTGCGCGGGCCCTGGAAGTAGGCGCCGCCGGACTCCTTGACAGGCTGCTCGAGCGCCGCGTGCATCGCCTCGGCGCGCTCGCTGGCCATCGCGACGAGCGCCTCGACGGTCGCTTCCCGCGGGAGCGCGCACCGCGGCGGCTTCTCGCCCGGGAATTCCGCCTGGAGCGCCGCGGTCTCCCGGAGCAGGTCATCCGCCGCCTCAGCGCAGGCGGCCCACGCCGCATCGTACAACGCTTTGACGTCCCGCTGCGCGTGGGAGATGGCGTCCTTGAGTCCATCTCGATCGCAATTCTTCACGTCGCGGTCGCCTGCAGCCGTCCGCGGCACGGCCCGCTCGACGGTGCTGTACATGGCTTGTACATCGCTAACGCTCGCGCTGGCGCCCATGGTCCTTTCGTCAGGTCTCGGCCATCGTTCAGCGCATTCCCGGGTCGGAGGGTAAACATGTCGTTTTGAACCTTCAAGAAAATCCGGATGGCAGCGGGCTGCGTGATGTGACCGCATCCTCCCAAAGGCAGCGGGCTGCGTGATGTGACCGCATCCTCCCAAAAACCATGCCCGCAATTCCCAGCGCTCGCCGAGCCTTGCTTACATACCTCCTTCTTTGCGGCGCGAAAGCAACCAACGACGACGCGGGCATCGCAACAGCAATACGACACACCACGGGCCTCGAGGTCGTCGCTGCTGACGCCGGCGCGGCACTCAACGCGAAAAACTGCAAAACGCCGTCGCTCTGGATCTTCCTGGGCGGCATGTACCGCACGTTCGACTGGACGCAGCGTCGGTTCGCGGCCGTGGCGCGGGCGTCGGTGGGCGAGTGCTACCACGTCGCGGCGGTGATGCCCGTCGAGGTCGACAGCCCGGCGACGCGGAAGCCGTGGGCGCGCCAGGGCTGGAAGCACTTCGACGCCGCGCGGGACGTGTCGTCCCGGCCGGACGCCGTCGCGGAGCGGCTCCGGCGCGCGTCCGACGAGGTCTTCTCCGGGCGGCTGGCCTTTGCGGTCGTCGACCGCGGCGACGGGCCCGAGGCGCGGTGGCCCGGCTGCTTCACGAGCTACTGGATCGGCGAATGGGTCGTCGCGAAAACGACGACGCACCACCACGGCTGGGCCGTGGACCGCCACGCCGTCGTCCTTCGGACGCGTCCGGACGTCGCGCTCGACCCGGTGGGCTTCGACCTCTTCAAAGCCCGCGCCTTCTTCGCGTCGCTCTACCCGGGCCACGACGCGCACGTCGTCTTCGGCCAGCAGCGGCAGGGGTCGCAGGGCGACGTCCACGTCACCACGTCTTTCGGCACGTACGAGGCCGACGTGGCCGCGCCGCTCGTCCGCCGTCCCCGCGCTTCGAACCTTCCCGCGTCGCTTCGCACCTCCCCCACCGCGTAGGCCGAGGCGTTGCGCATCGAGCACGCCAACTTCTCCGCGCGCGATTCGCCGACCGCGCGGCTCCTCCGGCGCCGGGGCCTCCGGAACGGCTGGGGCTACGGGCGTTCCGTCTACGGCCTCGGCCACAAGCCGCCGGCCGACAAGGACCCCGCGTCCGCCGGCGTGCCGCCGACGCTCGCCGACGACTGCTTCTGCGTCGATGACAGCTGCGCGGCCCCGACCTGCCTCGCGACGGTCCTCGAGGCGGACGTCGTGCCCAACTCGAAGATCGTCCGCACCAAGGCCGCCGGCGAGGCCCTGGCCAACGCCACGCTCGATGCCGATCGCCGATCCGAGCTCTCCGTCTACGAGCGCCGCGCGGCGTCGAAAAGGTGTCTCCGCTCCTATCCCCCGCGTCGCGCAGGTACTGCCCCGAGTACGCGGTGGCGGACTCGCGAGTCCGCGCGCAATACGCCAAGATCGCCAAGTCCTATATCCCCGGCGGCGGCGCATTCCTTCGCGCGCGGGAGCCCCGGGAGATCCCCTCGAACGCGACCGGGCACCGAGTATTCGCGGCCCGCGGCGACGCGCCGGCCCGCGGCGACGCGCCCTCCCGAGCGTTCGCGGTCCGCGACGACGCGCTCTCCAGCGCCGTCTGGAGAGTCCCCGCGTGCGCGCCGCCCGGCGAAATTCGCGTCCGGCCGCTCGCACACTTCGTCGAGCCCGCGGTTGCGGCCGAGGACATGGACGACGACGCGACCATCGCCAGGTGGCTCGTCCGCTCCGACGAGGTGACCCCGGCGACGCCCTCCCCCGGCGCGAGATAGGTTTTAAAAGCGCGACATCAGAGCGCCGTCCAGGGCCAGTCGTCGTCGCGACGCCTCCCGGCGGGCGTCTCCGCGGAGTCGCGGGCGCGGTAGACGGCGTTCGCGAGCTCCGCGGCGAGGATGCGGTCGTAGTCGCGGTTCGCGGCGCCGCGGCGACGGCCACGTCTCGACCCTCCCTTGACCTTGCCGACCGTGGACTCGCGGAACTCCGTGCCTTCGTACTTGAACCTCAGCCCGTCGACCTCGGACTTGGACTTGAGGTGCGTGTCGACCATGTCGCCGTTGCTGCTGGGGACGGGCACGAGGTCCGGCTTCTTCGACACGCGCTGGAGGCGGTCGAGGTAGGGCGACTGGCTCTGCGCGCGGCGCCGCGCGTTGCGCGCGTCGCGCCGGCCGCGCTCGTCCGTCGGCGAGCTCGACGGCGACGTCCACAGCAGCTTCTTCTCGAGCTTCGTCGGCGACGGGCTCCGCCGCCGCGGCGCCGCCGACGGGCGCGACGCGAAGGGCGGCTGGTCCAGGAGCCGCTCGCGCTTCTGCTCGACGACGTTCGTCGCGTCGCGGAGCGGCGACTCGCCGTCGAGCGGCTCGCCCGCGACCCGTTCCAGGTCCTCGACCATGCCGGCGATCTCGCGGAGCGACGCCTCGATCTCGACGCTCACGGGCGACGCCGCGGCCGCGGCGACGCGGCGCACGATGTCCGGCGACGCCGGGTACGCGCCGCTCGCCGGGAACGCGGCCGCCGCGTGGTCCGCGGCGCCGAGGACCGTCGCGGACGTCGGCGGCGACGGCGCCGTCGACGCGGACCGCGGGTCCGTCGTCGCGACGGGAGGCGCCTCGACGGCCGCGGGCGTCCGCGGCTCCTCGAGCGTCCCGGCCAGGACCTCCTCCGCCGCCTTGCGGAGCGCCTCCTCGTCGTCGCGCCGCGCGGCGGTCGGTTCGCTCGCCGGCGGCGCGTCGTCGGCGCTCGTCTCCTCGAGGCGCGCCTTCTCCGCCTTCTCCGCGAGGGCCGCGAGCGCCTTGCTGCGCTGGTCCCGGAGGAAGCGCCGCAAACTCGCGGCCTTGGTCTCGGCCTCGCGCTTCTTCGTCGCCTCCAACCGCTTCTTCGGCGGCGACGCCGCCGGCGCGGTCGGCGCGCGGCGGAGGAAGGCCGTCTTGTCGCTCGGCGTCGCGCGAGCCGCGCGGTCCTTGACGGTCGTCGGGATCTCCCAGGCGACGGGCCGCCGCGGGCTCGCCGGAGTCTCGAGGACCTGGGCCTTCTCTCCGCGCGCTCGCCGCGGCGTACTTTCGGGGCTCGCCCCGCGGCGACTCTTCGCCTTCCGCTGCGGGCTCGGGGATCGCCGCGGCGTCGGCGGCGGCGGCGGCGGCGGAACGGGAGCGCTCACCCGCCCCCTGGGCGGCCGCGGTACGTCGACGCGCCGCCGCTCCTGTCGCGCTCGTTCCCGCTCCTCGTCGCTCCCGTCGTCGTCGTCTTCCAGCAGCTGCTGGGGCGAGCCCGGCGTCGTCCAGCGGATCGAGGGCCGCGGCGCGGATGCGCGCGGCCGCGCCTCGGGCGACGACTCGCGCGATCGATCCACGACGACGACGACGGGCTGCTGCGACGAGCCGTGACGGGCCGCTCCGACGAACTGCTGCGACGAGCCGTGACGGGCTGCTCCGACGAACTGCTCCTCCTCGCGCCTTCGCGCCGGCGGCGGGTCGTCGATGTAGACGACCTGGGGCTGTGAGCAAACCCTCGAGTCCGCCGTGTCCTCGTCGATGTAGACGACCCGGGGCGGCCGGCGGACCTCGTCCGCCGGGTCGTCCTCGTAGTCCTCGTAGTCGTCGTACGCGCGGCCGTCGTCGTCCTGGAGCACGACTCGTCGTCCATTCCCCCGTCGCACGACGACGACGTCCTCGTCGCCGCCCTGGTCGTCCTGGAGCACGACGAGGTCGCCGCGGCGGTCGCGGCCGAGGCGGATGACGCGCGCGCCCGTCCGCTGGTTCTTGCGCGACACGGCCCGGGACACGCGCTCGGCGTCGCGCGCCTCGAAGTCGTCCTCGACCACGAGACCGCCGCGGGGCCGCCGCGGCGACAGCGACCGGTCCTCCTCCTCCTTGGACCGGCGGACGACGACGACGCGGCGGCCCGCGGCGGGCAGCCGCGCGGGGTCCGCCTTGGCCGGGTAGGGGGAACCCTCAAGTGCCCTCCCAACGACGCCTCCCTCGCTCGAGTGATCCACCTCCCGCACGACGACGGCGCTCGAGCGGCGCCCCGCGCGCGCGTGCAGCGCCGGCTCGGGCCGCCGCGCCGCATCGTCAAAGTCGCAGCCGCGCGGCAGCCACTCGCGGCTGCGGAAGCCGGCGGCGCGGTTCAGCTCGTACTCGGAGTGCGTGTCGCGGTACTCCTCGTCGTAGTAGGAGCCGCCCATATTGCAAGTCAGGGGCTACGGCGCAGCCCGCGGTAGAGGCACTTGCGTGAGAAACGTCGAGATATACTGTAGTATGCGCAGACGGTGCTAAAGTTTACCCAAGACAGCTCCGACTTCGACTTCCGCGTTGGCAGGGTGCGCTGGCGGTGCACACGCTGGCGCATACATGGGCGGCGGCGCGAGCAAGAAGAAGGACGCCGAGTGGGAGCTCGAGTACGAAGGACACAGCAAGGCCGTGCTCTGCGTCGCCTTCTCGCCCTGCGGCGCGCGGGTCGCGACGGGCAGCCTCGATGGCACGGCGCTCGTCTTCAACGCGAAGAGCGGCGGCAACCAGCTGACGCTCGAGGGCCACGGCGACGGCGTCGCCTGCGTCGCGTTCGCGCCCGGCGGGGGTCTGCTCGCGACGGGCAGCCACGATCGGACCGCGCGGCTCTGGGACGCGACGACGGGCGCGGCCGCGAAGACGCTCGAGGGCCACACGGGCCACGTCCTGGGCGTCGCGTTCGCGCGCGACGGCGCCCGCGTCGCGACGGCGAGCGGCGACTGGACGTGCCGCATCTGGGGCGTGGGGTCGGGGACCGTCGAGACGTTCGTCACGGGCCACATCGACATGGTCATCTGCTGCGCGTTCAACCACGACGGCACGCGCTTCGCGACGGGCTCGGCGGACAAGACGATCAAAATCTGGAACGCGGCGCGCCTGTTCAACGGGGACACGAAGCGATTCGACAACGCGACCGGCGCGCTGCTCCTCACGTTCGAGGGCCACGAGCACCACGTGACCTCCGTGACCTACGACCGCAAGGGGGAAAGGTTGTTGAGTTCGTCCCTGGATTCGTCGGTGCGCATGTGGGACGCGGCCAAGGGCGACGAGGAGTTCAAGCTCAAGCACCGGAGCGGCGTCGCGGGCGCGGCCTTTAGCGAGTGCGAGACAAGGGTGTTGTCCTGCTGCCGGGACAAGTCCGCGCGGTTGTGGTGCCTCGAGTCGGGCAAGGAGGAGACGAAGCTCAGCGGGCATAGGAAGGCGGTGAACGGCTGCGCGTTCTCCGCGGAGTACGTCGCGACCGCGGGCGACGACGAGGTCGCCAAGCTCTGGCTTCCGCGGAACGACCTGCTGAAAGAGTTCGAAGAGGACTAATTTGAAGAATGTTTTTTTATTTGGGGCGGCCGAAGACTGGCCGCACTTTTGTTGGCCGCACTTTTGTGCGGCACGTTCAAGGTGCCGCAAAGTTGCCTCTCGAGCGTCCACACGATGGCGCGCGCCATTGCCGCGCTCCTCTGCGCCCACTTGTCGTCGTCGCTGCTGCTGCGCGGCGGCACGCGGCGCGTCGCCTTGTCCATGCGCGACTCGTCCTCCGTGACCTGGTTCAAAGCCGGCGACCGCGTGCGCGTGACGGAGTCCGTCGTCGCGCGCGGCGAGGACCTGCTGGGCCGCACGGGCACCGTGACGGACACGTGGACCAAGTGCGAGGAGGACCCGCACTGCTGCTGCGCGGAGCTCGCCGAGGAGACCGCGGCGGTGCACGTCCGCTTCTCGAGCGGCGACGGCGCGTCGTTCGAGTACTACTTCGCCGAGTCGGAGCTCGCGCGCGAGAAGGCGCCGGCGCCCGCCTCGTCGGCCTCGTCGGCGCCCGCGCGCGAGAAGGCCTCGTCGGCCTCGTCGGCGCCCGCGCGCGAGCGCGACCGCCGGCCGGCCGCGGCCGCGGCCGTCGCGTCCGCGGCGATCGCGGCCGCGGCGTCCGCCGCGGAGCTCGAGCCGCTCCTGGCCGCGGAGCCGCGGCGCGACGTCGCCGTCGCGCTCGTCGCGCCGCTCCTCGCGTACAAGGTCGCCGCCGTGGCCAACGGGCAGAAGCTCATGGCGTCCCTCGACGCGACGATCGCGCTCGCGGCCTTCGCGGCCGTCTACCACTGCCTGCCCACGTAACTGTGTCGCGGCGGGCGCCCGGCCGTGGCGGCGCGCGGGGCCCGGGGCGCTCAGCAGAAGGCCTTCCGGGGCTGGGCCTGGGGCCCGAGGCGCTGGTCGATGCGCCGCTGGAGCGTGGCGACGAGGTGGCGCTGGCTCGCGACGGTCTTGCGGCCGTGCGTGCGCTTGGCGACGCGGAGCTGCTTGGGCACGGAGGGCTTGGACTGGCGCTTGACGCGGCCGCGGGGCTGCGCGGGCCGTTTCGGCGACGCCGGGCCCGGCGCGGGCCGCCGCGGCGACGGCGGCGCGCCCGGCGGCGCGTCGTCGAGCTGCTGGCGCGCGGCGAAGGCGGCGAAGGACTCGCGGACGCCGCGGCCCGTCGCGCGGCCCGTCTCGAGGTCGAGCACGTCCGCGTCGCCCGCGGCCTCCTCCGCGAGGGGCATCGGCGGCGGCCTCGCGTCGCGGCCCGCGGAGAAGCGGTCGCCTAAACCGTGGAGGAAGCAGTCCGCCTCGGCGAGGAGGTGGCTGTAGACGACCTTGGGCGGCGCCGCCTCCGTCTTCGGGAGCTTGTCGACGAAGTCGGACCACGTCCGGTTGTGCACGGAGATGCCGATGCGCGCGAAGACGGCCCTTAAATCCGCCTCGGAGAGCGCGCCCTCGCGCTGGTGGTCCGCCCGCAAAAAGGCCGTGCGCACCATCTGGGGCCGCGTGAGGAGCCGGTCCTTGAGCACGACGCTCAGCCGGTTCGAGCCGACGTCCGGCGGCGGCGTCTGCGGCGGCACGAACTTGTAGCTGTGGCCCAGGTCCAGCCCCGTGTAGCCGTGGCCGGCGATGAGGTGGCCGTACTTGGCGAGGAACTCGTTGTAGGACACCATCATGTCGCGGTTCGTGTCGATCTCCGCCATCATCGTCGCGAAGTTCTCGTCCGTCATCGTGATGTTGAAGAACTCGAGCGCCTCGCGGTACTCCGCGTAGGTCAGCGTGCCGCTCTTGTCCTCGTCGAAGAGGCGGAAGATCTTGCGCGCGTTGCTGCTCTTGGAGAAGAGCTTCGTCTCGAGCGCCTGCGAGATCTCCGGCAGCGACCAGTTCGGGATCGTCTTCTTGTGCTCGAAGACGTACTCCTTCTCGCCGATGGGCAGGTCCAGGCCCCGGTACTCGTGGCCCCGGATGATGGCGCCGTACTTGGCGATCCACTCCCCGTAGGAGATGTCGCCGTCGTCGTCCTTGTCGATCGTGTGGACGAACGTCGCGAAGTCCGCGTCCGTCATGACGATGTTCATGTCCTGGAGGAGCTGGCGGAACTCGCTGTGCGTGAGGGACCCCGTGCCGCTCACGTCGGCCCGGCGGAAGAGCAGGTCGCACTTCATGCCCTTGGTCGCGAGCCGCTCGCCGAGCGTCTTCGCGACGGCCTCGGGCGTCCACTTGGGCAGCGGCATGGGCCGGATGGGCTTGCGCTCCTCGCTGTCCATGCGCAGGCTCGTCGCCTTGCTCAGCCGCTCGCGGACGCGCTCCATGTTCGCGACGACGACCTTGTCGCACGCGGACATGGGCCGCGGCGGCTCGGCCGTCCGGCGCCGCGGCGGCGGCTCGGCCCGCGCCGCGGCCGCGGCCGCGGCGGGGCTCGGGTTCGGCACGGGCGCCGTCGCCGCCGTCGCGCCGGAGTGGGAGCTCGGCGGCGCGACCGCGGTCCGCGCGGCCGCGGGCGTCGCCGCGGCCGGCGGCGGCGCGGCCGCGGCGGGCGGCGGCGGCGCGGCCGCGGCGCCGCGGTCGTGGAGCCGCGACGCGACGGCCCGCTCGAGGCTCGCGGAGATGGCCGAGTTGCGCAGCTGGATGGCCCGGGCCTTGCGGCTGCAGTTCGACGGGCCCCGGACGCCCTGGGCCGTCGCGGGCCGCGACACGGACGGCTCCATCCAGCTCCGCGCGGCCGGCGGCTCGTAGCTCGCGCGCGGCGCGGCGGTCTGCGCCGTCGCCGGCCGGCTGCCGAACTGCTCGATGAGGGGGTGGCGCGGGGCCGCGGCGGCCCGCGGCGCGGCCCCGCCGACGGTCATGGTGTAGGAGCCCATGTCGATGAGGCGCGGGGACTGGGGCCGGGCCGCCGCGTCCATCTCTCTGAGCATGTCGAGGTCCATCGCGCGAGGCGCGCGGTGTGGCCGCGCGAAGGGCCGAGCGAGGCCGACCGTCGCGCCCGCCGCGTCCTTGGTCGAGCACACAAACTCTCCGCCAGGCTGGCTTGTCGTTTCGCAAGCGGGAGAGCCATCAAGGTCGGCCCGTGTGGATATCAAGTATCGGCTAAATTCAACGTCGGCGAAGAAGCCCGGCCCGGCCGGATCTCCATGGTCCACTAGGGCGCCCTGTTTCTGCCCGGCGCCGCCCCGCGATGACGCTGGTCCAGAAGCGGCGGCTGAAGCGGCGCTTCAGCGGCCACTGGAAGCGGCTCGTGCCCAAGGCCGAGGAGCGCAAGCGCAAGGAGGAGGAGGCGCGCTGGCTCGACGCGCAGATCCCCAAGACCTGGGGCGAGAAGGCCTACGACAAGGTCCGCGCGTCGGTCCTCGAGACGCTGGCGTCGCCGTCGTTCCAGTTCGTCGCGCGCGAGGCCCGGAAGGAGTTCGTCCCGGGCCTGCCCAAGTTCCTCTGCATGCTCGTGGGGCTCGGCTGCTCGTTCGCGACGCCGCTCCTGTCCGCGCGGCTCCTGGACATGATGGGCGGCGAGGGCGCCAAGGACACGTGCGCCAACCCCGCGGGCTGCGGCGCGTCCATCGGCGACACGGCCGTGCTCATCGGCCTCATCAAGGTCGCGCAGCTCGCGGCGGGCGCGGGCGAGCGCCGCTTCGGCGAGATGCGGAGCGAGCGCGTCAAGGCCCAGCTCCAGAAGCGCTGCTTCGAGGCCATCATGCGCCAGGACGACCGCTACCTCGACGGGTCCAAGGTCGGCGTGCTCCTGACGACGCTCCAGGAGACGGGCGCGTCGTGGCTCGTCTCGGGGCGGGAAAAGAGAGCGAAATTCCCAACTTCAAAGGCTCCGATCTCGGCCGTGTTCCACTCGTTTCGGCTGATTCTTGGACGAGCGATCATCTCTCGGAACGGTCTCGAAGCGTGGATGCTTTCTTCGGAACGCGCGCGCGCGGAACACTCACGTCGAAGCGACGTCGAATCTCTCTTCGCCCGCCCAGGCTCGTCTGCGACGCCGCGTTCGAGGTCACGCGCCACGCCGCGACGCTCGTCTGCGGCGGCTACGCCATGTTCCGCGCGGACTGGACGCTGGCCTGGTGGGTCATGGGCACCGTGCCCTTCTTCTTCGCCGCGCACGGCGTCCGCACGCTCCTCGCGAAGGAGTTCTCGAAGAAGCTCCAGGAGCAGCGCGCGAACACGTTCGCGCGCGCGACGGAGAGCGTCCAGAACCACGCGACGGTGCGCGCGCACGGCGCCGAGCCCGCCGAGGCCCGGACCTACGCGGCGCGGCTCGACGAGGGCTTCGCGCTCAAGCGGACGGCGCTCCTCAAGGACATCTGCGTGGGCCTCGGCGCCGACGGCGTCGTCGGCTGCGGCGAGATCGCGCTGCTGATCGTCGCCGCGCGGCGGCGGCAGAACGAGGGCCTGAGCCTCGGCACCTTCGCGGCGTTCCGCGGCGCGCTCGGCGCGTTCCTCGGCGGCCTCATCGGCCTCGTCGTCGCGGGGAACCACGCGGCGCAGGCGCTCGGCGCCGCGGAGCGCTACGTCGACCTCGTCGCGACGCGCCACCCCGAGATCCTCGACGCGGGCATCTTCGGCGACGCGGCCGCGGCGAAGCCGCGGACGCTCTCGACCGCGTTCGCCGCCGTCCCGCGGCGCGGCGCGAACCTCGACCCCTGCGTCCGGTCCGCGCCCTTGGTCGTCTTCGAGGACGTCGCGTTCCGCTACGACCTGTCGCGGCCCGACGCGCCCTTCGCCGTCGAGGGCGTCACGCTGCGCCTCGAGGCCGGCAAGTCGACGGCGCTCGTCGGCGCGAGCGGCAGCGGCAAGTCGTCCCTCGCGAAGCTGCTGCTGCGGCTCCACGACCCGGAGCGGGGCCGCGTGCTCGTCGACGGCGTGCCCCTCGACGCGCTGGACGTGCTCAAGCACCGGCGGCGCGTCGGCATCGTCCAGCAGGAGCCGTCGCTCTTCGACCGGACGATCTACGAGAACATCGCCTACGGCATGGAGCCGCCGCCGAGCCGCGCCAAGGTCGCGGCCGCGGCCTTCGCCGCGGGCGTCGACGCGGTCATCGCGGCGCTCAAGGACGGCTACGACACGCCCGCGGGCGAGAAGTCGACGCGGCTCTCCGGCGGCGAGAAGCGGGGCGAGCGAAGGGCGCGACGTTCCCGACTTCCCTCTCGGCCGTGTTCCGCTCGTTTCGGCTGATTCTTGGACGAGCGATCATCTCTCGGAGCGGTCTCGAAGCGTGGATGCTTGTCTTGGAACATGTGAAACACCCACGTCGAAGCGATTTTGAATCACCCCGCGCAGGCGAGAAGCAGCGCGTCGCGCTCGCGCGCGCGCTCGTCCGCGAGCCGACGCTCATGCTCCTCGACGAGGCGACGTCGGCCCTCGACGCCGAGTCCGAGGCGTCGGTGCTCGAGGCGCTCGACGCCGCGGCGTCGGGCCGCACGACGCTGGCCATCGCGCACCGCCTCGCGACGATCCAGCGGAGCGACGCGATCGCCGTCGTCGCGCACGGCAAGATCGTCGAGCTCGGCACGCACGACGAGCTCCTCGACATCGAGCACGGCGCCTACGCGGCCCTCGTCGAGAAGCAGAGCCTCGGCGCCTTACACCACATCCCGCGGACGCCGAGCGCGCGGTCGCTCGACGCGGCCTCCGTGACGGACTCGTCCAAGGGCGAGGACGAGCACGACCACGACGACGACGACGAGCTCCTCGCCTACCACCACGCGCTCTCGCACCACCAGCACGACCGGCACCGCCACTACTACCGCTCGATCTCCTTCTAAGAATTCAACCGTCCGACTCTCCGACCCGCCGCGCCGATACCGCCGCTTCTAGGAAGGGGCTTACGCCTTCTTCTTGGCCTTCTTGGCCTCCGCGCGCGACTTGGCGAACGCCGCGAAGTCGGGCACGTCGTAGAGCTCCCCGAGGAGCGCGTCGACCTTCTCGAGCGTCGCCTTGGCCGCGTCCACGGCGAGCCTACGATGCTGTTGTTCGGCGAGGAAAACCGGCCGCGAGACGCCGAAGAAACGCACGCGATGGACTCCTCCTTGGAGATGACGGGCTCCGGCGGCGGCCGCGGCGGGAGCGGCGGCGGCTCGGAGCCCGGCGGCGGCGGCTCGTCGAACTCGGGCCTGGGGGCGTCGTCGCCGGCGCGCGGGCGCGGCGCGGGGCGCCGGGCGCGCGCGGGCACGGCGCCGCGTCGCGCGGCTGCTCGTGGACCGTGAGCGGGTCGCCGTTCTTCATCAGTTCGCCGCCGAGCATGCGCGCGCGCGCGCCTGCGGTTGTTCGCGGGTTTTCCCCCGGCGGCGGCGCGCGCTCGCGGGCGCCGGCGCGCGCGGGCCATGGAGGCCGTCGCCGGCTTCGGCGGGAGGTCGTCGTAGTCGCGCGCGCCCTTGCCCTTGCCGCCGCGGCCTCGCCCCCCTCCTCGGTTTCGCCGCTCTCCTAAGAAACCTGGCCTCTGGCTGCTTCCGGGTGACAAAATCAATTCATCGGTCTCCAATCACGCGCCCCGATCGCGTCCCCGCCGTCTGCCCTGATGCCGGTCGTCGTCGCGGTCGTAGTCGCGGTCGCGGTCGTCGTAGTCGCGGTCGCGGCGGTCTCGGTCCCGGTCGTAGTCGCGGTCGCGGTCGCGGTCGCGGCGGTCGCGGCTCCGGCTCCGGCTGTAGTCGCGCCGCCGGCGCTCGCGGCTCCGGCTGCGGTAGTCGCGGCCGAAGTCGTCGCCGCGCCGGCCCATTGCCACACGGCGAGAGAGGTGCTCCTTCACGACGTTGAAGATTAGCAACCTGCCGCCGATCCTGTCGACGAGCCGCAATTCGTAGACGTCCGTCCCCAAAGCTTGGTGGAGCCGCAGCGTGCCAGCAGCTCGCCGCGTGGGACAGCCTCGTGAGACGTTCGTAATTCCAGCGACCGCACGAACCGGCGTCTCGAGCATACACGACGCACCGGGGCTGCCTTTGGTCCCCGACGGCGCCGGGGACGACGGCGGGGACGGGGGGGGGGGGGGGGGCAACGAAGGGG